GTCGTATATCATGGCCCAATAGCATATCTTGAAAACTAGAGCCAATCATCAATTTTAAGCATCATTTTCGTTCTCAGTGACCCAGAATTAGTGAAGTTTGACTACATTTATTTCAGAAGCATTTTGGCTGTAGAGCAGTGTAATGAGGCATCCGCTGGAGAGGAAGGGAGTGAAAGTTCTCCAGTCCTGCCCTTAGGTCATCAGTGGAATGAGTCTGCTGGATCTCAGCCACTGTCTCTTTTACGCACAGTCCGACTTGTGCTACACACACAGATACGTTTCCATGCAGACAGCGAACAGGCTCCAAGCTCAGTCTGGCTGTTCTCTTATTTTGTCATCCTCTCTCTCTGCCGTCAGCCTCCCCCCTTATTTGGCTCTCTTCCCCCACTAACTCTGGCTGACCTGCACAGCCACCAGAGCGTTGGGGAGAAATGGAAGGACCTCAAACAGCTCCATGCCCGCCCACACACCCTGGAGGGCAGGAAAGCTTTGGAGCTCTTCATCCTGAAACAAAGCCCTTCTGCCCCTTTCCGGGTCCCACTGCACGGCCCCTGTGGTGGACTCTACAAGGGCATGTCATGCCCTTCTTTGAGGTCCTTTTCTCCGCTCCCAGCTGCCCTGTGGCGAGACCAGCTTGTTCCCCTGCTGAGTGACCTGGGGCTGTGGGGGATGAGTCCTCGCTGGCTTTGGCAGGTCGAGCTCCCCCTACCAGCCAGGTGTCTTTGGATTAGCTCCTTCCCCTGCATCATCTTTGTGGGGTGGGCGTTGGTAGATGGCAGAAGCTGCGGCGCTCTCTGGGAGTGGCTTATTCCTACCCCCTAGTGCTCTCCCCTTGTTCTCCCCAATTGAAGACCCACGTGTTGCCCATTAGTGTCCCGGGTAGTGTCACTGCTCCAGGCACTGATCTTGGATTGACGACCCCACGCCCAACTCACTTCCCAGGGCTGCTGCTCCTGGATCTCAGAGCGAACTGATTCTGATTGCGGGAGCAAAGGGGTTAATAGCCGTGCTCTGCTGAGACCTTTGTTTGGTTTTGTTAGTCACTGAGTAAACTGGGGCTTAACGTCAGGGGTGAACTGGTAGGGAAAAAAATTCTTGATTTAATCCAGGAATGACCAGGTGTGTGTGTGCATGTCCTGTATTGGATGATGTGTGCCCAGTTGTGCAGAACTGCCTAGCTGTGTGTCATTGGCCCTATATTGCTAACAGCTGAGGGTGATTCTCCAGTAGCCCAAATAAAGGGGGCCTGTGTTTTTTTTTTTAACTAGGGGGATCTCAGTTCTAACCTCAATGGCACTGAAGGTTTGAGTGGCCACGGTCCACAGCAGTGGTGACAGTGAAGTCCCAGGTCGTTGTGGACGTGTTATAATACCTTCTTGGGGTGAGGCATCGGGTGTGGGAGGAGACCAGTGTTTGGGGTCACAGCTGAGAGAACATTCTGCTTCCTTGTTCCACAGCAAGGAAGACAGGAGAGAGGAGCAGTTTGCTGGGGTGCGATTTTGCTCCTGGTGGGAGCAGATGGGAGGAAGCGGTCTTGGGGCAGTGCCTGGCACAGGAACAAGAGCTGAGAGCAGCAGAGCTAATGCTGGGGACTCCAGAGCATTCGTGGGGCTGGCAAGCTGGAGCTGCCGGCACTCTAGGGGTTAATGATGGAAGCGGCGCGGTCACCAAGATTGCCAGCCAAGCACTGAAGAGAGGGATTAGTGCTGTTTTATTCTTTGAGTTCATTTTTTTCCCCTTCCCAAGCTTGAGTCTGAATTTGGCTGAGGCCAAACTGCGGTGAATTGTGAGTTCTCCGCTCAGGAGCGGCCTGTTGGCATCGGAGCCTGGCAGGGTGGAGCGGGAGGGGCTGTGTTGGGTGCTGCTCGTTAAGAGTGAAGGTGAATGCTGCGCTGGAGGCCAGTCGTTTGCTGGGGCGCAGGACAGGAACGGCTGGGGCTGCAGCCGAGCACGCTTCCCCACCCGCGCCAGGAGCCGCAGCCCCCGGAGGCATCGCTGCTGGGGAGACCAGGGCATTTGGGCTTCCAGGGCCTGTTCAGTCCTTGGCCGCTCTTCATCGTGTGATGATTTGGGTTGGTGGGTTTTGTTATGTGGACACCACCCAAGTGGGAACTAGGCTGAGACCCAACAGCTCATTTCACACAGGCCACCAGTGATTGGCTGCTTGCTACTCTCCTGGAACCAGATTCAAACCAGTGATCTAGGCCTAGATGGGCACCGTGTCCCCAAAGCTGCTTGGTGTCCACCACAAAGGGACCTCTGCCGGCATCCCAGGGCCACTGACTCCAGCTGGAGCTGCAGGTGCTCGCACCACTGAACGTCAGCCGGGTTGTTCGCCAGTACAGCGGCCTGGCTGCTAAGTGGCTTCACTTGGTTCATGGCAGCCAGGATCGGGCAAACGGCCTGCACTGGCTTCGTGCCACCTCGCCCTGGAAGGGAAGGTTCCTTTGCCAAGGGAAGGCCAACGTGTGAGTAGAGGCAGACAGGGTGAAACTGGCTAGTGAAGTGAAAGAGGCGGCTCATGGCTCAGCGGTTTCAGGGCAAGAGGGCGATTGTTATTGGACAGATAGGGTGGCCGATGTGCTCTCTGCACATGCACTCCTGCGCGTGCTGCTCCCTGATGGCACACGGCAGGAGTTTGCAAGACAGTGTCAAGTCCAATGCAGGTGTCCCTGGCTGGCGAAGGGTCTGACCGTGCAGATAGTGGTGCCAATTCCTGGCTCCACAGGTCACAATTTACCAAGGAGCTGGGCTGATCAGTGCCTGGCACAGCCACGGGCAGTGTCCAGTGCAGAGAGGGAGAGAACACCTAGCTTTGATCTGAGCCAGACAGGAGTTTCCTGGGGCCCTCTGCCTGCTCTCTGATCCCTCCATTGCAGCCCTGCAGGTACTTGGGGGAGTGTGCCCAATCCCACCTCAGTGTGAGAGAACAGCAACCTGGTGTGGGAGCTGGCGGCAGGCAGCCTGCACTGAGGGTGCATGCAGATCACCTGCTCCTTGGGGCCCCACAAAGAGGACAGCGGAGCAGACGTCTCACTATGCAGATGTACTGAGGTCCCCCTGCCTGGCGGAGCAATGGCCCCATGCCTGCGCACTCCTGCAGTGGGTTCTCGAGGGCTGAGCGAGGGTGAAGCGGCTGGGGAAAGGCCCCTGCAGCAGAGAGACACAGGAAGGGAGAGAGCAGGGCTGGTGGTTGGTGTGGGGGGAGGATAAACACCAGCTCAGCTGCATGAGAGCATCCCCGGCTGTTGGGAGCTGCTTCCCGAGGAACAATGGGAGCTGCTGCTAATGGAGGCCTTGCCGGGCAGCGCCAGGTCCAGCTGCTCCAGGGCTCCAAACCCCAATGGCCTTGAGCAGCACTGACCTCCCTTCCTTTGGGGGGGGTCAGACTCCTGCGGTCGCCTCTGGCTGAGGCTGAGTATACAGGGAGGGGCTGGAGAGAGGAGGCCAAGGAAGTTCTGCTGCTGAGTGCAGTCTGGGGGCAGAGGGGCTCGCGGCCCCCCTGGGCGAGGGCTCCGTTCCCCAGGCCCAGCCAGCGTGCACACCGGGCAGCTCTCCCCTAGGGAGTGAGAATTTCCTTTTCCTCACCCCAGCCACTGGAGGAGATGGGCTGTGGCACATCACCCCATCGCAGAGCTCCAGCGGGACAGGTGAACGGACTTGTTTGGGGCCGGACTGGCATTTCTCCAATGCTGTGTTGGGACGGAGACCGGCACGGCTGGGAGCTCCCCCACAGCCAGCGCCCCTCACCGTTCCCTGCAGCACCTCCTGGGCACCCCCACCACGACTGCTCCTGCAATGTTGCCCGATGTGCCCATCCAGCCATTGATTGCTTTCCTCGCCTGTAACAGTGGGTCAGTGTATCTCCAGCTGCACGGAAGAGGGGGCGGGGTGGAGCCGGTCTTTGCCCTGAATAGATTCCCCTGTAGGAGAATTGCAGCCTGGGCAGCTGCCGGGAAGCCTCCCTGGTGCTCTGAGCAATGCCATGTTTGTGCGTGACCTCCCGGGCAGACCCTTCGCCGCCTCGTCTGCTCCAGGATGGAGGAGGACGGGTCCTAATGCCCACTTTGAGCATGGCTGGCACTCCCACCCGGACGCCTGGCCCAGACGGCAGATGGGCCCGCTGGGTTTCATGGCAGGTCTTGTCTGCATGCCCAGGTGAAGGGGCGCTGCATTCGCTGAAGGGCTGGTGTGGCCAGCCTGCTCACAGGTGAGACTTACGTTTGAGGACCAGCAGCTGCTGAACACACTGTCCATGCTGGCTGGCATCACGATGAGCCAGGCTTTGGGAATGGGGAGGTGTGTGTGTGTATTATGGCACAGCGCCCCCTTCTGCCTGCTTGTATTGCGGCTGTGATCCTGGGACCGGGCTGGGAAGAGGCAGGGAGGGATTGTATCAGGCAATGTGATGGAAGGAAGGGCAGGGAGACAGCTGTGTGGGAAGGTGAGGACCATTGGCCCGTCCTGCTGATGTTGAGTAGGACGTGGTGCTGGGTTCAGGCTGTGGCCAGCCGAATGTACCGCTAAGCAGTTCTTTGCCACTTGCCCAGAGCGCGTCTGACTGGGCCGCCACTCCCAGCAGCACGCCCAGTGTCGAGAGGGGAGCGCCACGTGGGGCCGGCGGGCTCAGCGGGAGTCCACCTTCCTAGCTTCCACATGGGATGTTACCTTGGACAGAGGCCCAGGCCAACGTGACGTCGCCGTGTGGCGACGTGACAGCGCCCGTGTGGCGACGCCCCAGTCCAGGCAGCACCATGTCACGACGGCGTCTGTGTGGCGCCTAGCCTGGATGTCAGACCCCTTTCTGGGGAGGGGAGGGTACAATCCATGAGGTGACTTGGCTGCCCTTGGAGCTGGGGAGGGGGAGAGCTGGTGGGGAAAGCTTCAGGGAGCAGCTGACATCTCTGGGCTGGGGCGGGGGGACACACAGGGAGAGGGCCTGTCTGAATAGAGCCCACTGTGTCCCTCCTGACTGCCATTAAGCATCTCTCTCCTCTTAGCTGCAGGCAGGATACTGAAGCGCTGAATGGAGCTGCGCTGTGACCTACATTTCCCAAGGAAGCAAAGCGCCCCCAGCCCCCGGAGCTTCCTCGGCGCCTGCACCATGAAATGATGCAAGTGAAGCCCCTTCTGCCCCGGCAGGTGCCTCCTTAGCCAGGCTTCTCGCCCTGCCGCCTCACCTCACGCCCTTCGTCGGGGACGGCAGGACATGGCCAGCTCGGCGCCGTGGGCCCACTGGGGAGAGGCGGGCCTTGGCCATGGCTCTGGGCAGCGGCAGCGCTGGGAGGAGGCGGTGGAGCAGAGATCTGAGGGGTACATGGAGGAGAATGGAGTTGCTGGACTGGACGAGAACGGACTGGTGGGTCGCGCTGGCCAGTGGGATGAGTCCCCGGCCCAGGGGCCCACTGAACTGGAGTTCCTGGGGAACGTCAGGCTTATGAAGGGGCCACC